TAAGACGAGCTCTAAACACACATAACACCCTCTGTCCTTAAAGGGGCCCTAGTGTGCTCATTTTCAGGTTCATACATCTATTTTGTCTCTACTTCTCCCCCCCTGCAGGAACAACATCAACTTCCTGATGGGCTCGTGGTGGCCCAACCTGGAGGACCTGTACGAGGCGGACGTGCCCGTGTACCGCTTCATCCAGAGGCCCGGAGACCTGGTGTGGCTGAACACCGGCACCGTGCACTGGGTTCAGGCCATCGGGTGGTGCAACAACATCGCCTGGAACGTTGGACCTCTCACCGGTACGCATGGAATTATGGGATATGGGATAATGGTTCTAAATCGTGAAGGGGATGCTCTTAACATATTTTTAATGCGTCTTCCTTCGCGATGACATCCTGTTTCCTTCATGCTCTTTCAGCCCACCAGTACAAGCTTGCCGTGGAGCGCTACGAGTGGAACAAGCTCCAGAGTGTCAAGTCAATGGTTCCCATGGTGCACCTCTCCTGGAACATGGCGCGCAACATCAAAGTGTCCGACCACAAGCTGTTCGAGATGATCAAGTGAGTCACAGAATCAGCAGCTGGGTGGTTTATATTTAAAGTTTGCACAGGCTGGATTTATTTTAAACGTGTTTTGGTCTCAGGTACTGCTTGTTGCGGACGTTGAAGCAGTGCCAGTGGGTGAAGGAAGCTCTGGCGACAGCAGGCAAGGAGACGGTGCTGAGGCCGAGGACCCGGGACGAGCCGGCCCACTACTGCACCATCTGTGAGGTCAGTGAACGCACCGGCCGCCTTTCAGCATAGATGTACAGTGGGGCAAAAAAGTATTTAGTCAGCCACCAATTGTGCAAGTTCTCCCACTTAAAAAGATGAGAGGCCTGTAATTTTCATCCTAGGTACACTTCAACTATGAGAGACAGAATGGGAGGAAAGAATCCAGGAAATCACATTGTAGGATTTTTAATGAATTAATTGCTAAATTCCTCGGTAAAATAAGTATTTGGTCACCTACAAACAAACAAGATTTCTGGCTCTCACAGACCTGTAACTTCTTCTTTAAGAGCCTCCTCTGTCCTCCACTCGTTAACTGTATTAATGGCACTTGTTTGAACTCGTTATCAGTATAAAAGACACCTGTCCACAACCTCAAACAGCCACACTCCAAACTCCACTATGGCCAAGAACAAAGCGATTTTGTTTCTGGTGTCCTTTGACAAAAGGACACCAGAAACAAAATGGTAGACCTGCACCAGGCTGGGAAGACTGAATCTGCAATAGGTAAGCAGCTTGGTGTGAAGAAATCAACTGTGGGAGCAATTATTAGAAAATGGAAGACATACAAGACCACTGATAATCTCCCTCGATCTGGGGCTCCACGCAAGATCTCACCCCGCGGGGTCAAAATGATCACGAGAACGGTGAGCAAAAATCCCAGAACCACACGGGGGGACCGAGTCAATGACCTGCAGAGAGCTGGGACCAAAGTAACAAAGGCTACCATCAGTAACACACTACGCCGCCAGGGACTCAAATCCTGCAGTGCCAGACGTGTCCCCCTGCTTAAGCCAGTACATGTCCAGGCCCGTCTGAAGTTTGCTAGAGAGCATTTAGATGATCCAGAAGAGGATTGGGAGAATGTCATATGGTCAGATGAAACCAAAATAGAACTTTTTGGTAAAAACTCAACTAGACGTGTTTGGAGGAGAAAGAATGCTGAGTTGCATCCAAAGAACACCTACTGTGAAACATGGGGGTGGAAACATCATGCTTTGGGGCTGTTTTTCTGCAAAGGGACCAGGACGACTGATCCGTGTAAAGGAAAGAATGAATGGGGCCATGTATCGTGAGATTTTGAGTGACAACCTCCTTCCATCAGCAAGGGCATTGAAGATGAAACGTGGCTGGGTCTTTCAGCATGACAATGATCCCAAACACACCGCCCGGGCTACGGAGGAGTGGCTTCGTAAGAAGCATTTCAAGGTCCTGGAGTGGCCTAGCCAGTCTCCAGATCTCAACCCCATAGAAAATCTTTGGAGGGAGTTGAAAGTCTGTGTTGCCCAGCGACAGCCCCAAAACACCACTGCTCTAGAGGAGATCTGCATGGAGGAATGGGCCAAAATACCAGCAACAGTGTGTGAAAACCTTGTGAAGACTTACAGAGAACGTTTGACCTCTGTCATTGCCAACAAAGGGTATATAACAAAGTATTGAGATGAACTTTTGTTTTTGACCAAATACTTATTTTCCACCATCATTTGCAAATAAATTCTTTAAAGATCAGACAATGTGATTTTCTGGATTTTTTTTTTTCTCATTCTGTCTCTCATAGTTGAGGTATACCTAGGATGAAAATTACAGGCCTCTCTCATCTTTTTAAGTGGGAGAACTTGCACAATTGGTGGCTGACTAAATACTTTTTTGCCCCACTGTATACAAGATGTCTAAAACATTATGTGGGAGTAGAGCTGAACTGTTTCAGTAGATGCGTGTATAGAATTAAAATTCACTTAGTTCACACATGAATGCCACAACGCTGCACTTTACCTTTTCAGTTGGTCCATGAACAGTGTATTAAAAGGCTGCCTTGTTAGCGCTAATTAACGGGCATGCTAAATGGATTTTATTGAATGCATGGCTTTCAGCTATTTAGCAGAAATGTGTCCATTTTCAATTAAACGTCTGCTGCCATTGTGTCCTGGAAAGGAGTGTATTATGCACCGTCTATAGCTCCAGGATCTGTCCCTGGATGACATTACCACTGCAGCCTCTGCTCCATTCAAACTCACAAATCAAAGCTGAGCGCCGCCATTTAATAGAACGGCATTAAAGCCATTCAATCGGAGCTCTTTCTAATATGCCTGTGTGTTTGTATACTGTGCAGGTGGAGGTGTTCAACCTGCTGTTTGTGCGCCGCGAGCTCCTGTCCAAGAAGCAGTACGTGGTGCACTGCCAGGACTGCGCCCGGAAAGGCAGCGCCACGCTGGATAACTTCGTGGTGCTGGAGCAGCACCGCATGGACGACATGATGCAGGTCTACGACCAGTTCACATTAGTAAGTCTCAACTCTGAGGGGCGCTTGCTACCTCTCTCAAAATAAAGTAGAATCATGAATAAACTTCATAAATAATGGTTTCTGTGGAATGTTATTTTATCATTACATTACATAGTATTTAGCAGACACTTTTATTTAACACAGATGATTATATTCACTATTTATCCATACATAATTAATCACAACATTTGAAATAATAATATTATAAACAAAGACTACTACCAAAATCTCCACTTAGTGACATTCACCGTTCCTACAACCGTAGACATGCCTATGTCAGAATTTTACTTTAGTTTGCACTTAAGGATTATTATTACCTCTTTAAAGATGCAGTCCAACAACATCACAACTGAAAGCTAGATGTTTATTGCCACTAATTGTCATAATACAGTTTGTAAGCCACTACAAAATGCTAATGAAGAAGGAATCTGGTTTATATATATATTCAAATGATCTTTTTCAATCAAATGTATACTATTAGAGGCGTGTAGCGCAGTGGACTAGTGCGTTAGTGTTAGGGTCAGGGGAGCGCAGGTTCAAACCCCACTGCAGTCAGCATGTCGTTGTGTCCCTGCAAGACACTTCACCCCAAATTGCTCCTGTGGGGATCCTGTTGGGATCGCTTTGGATAAAAGCTTCTAATATGTAATGTCATTTAGAATCCATACGCACAACATCTATTGCATTTATTACATTTTTCCCCGTTAATTGTGGAGTTTCTTGGGTTTTCCTGCAAACTTCTAAGGACAGAGGGTATCACCCCCTGAGACAAATGTGTATTTTAAAAAACCCTGCAGAACAACTTGCTATAAAAGTGAAATACTTGTCTGGTATTTAATTCCTTATGACTTCAACGACTAATGATCTTGTCCTCTTCCTCCCCAGGCCCCTCCTCTTCACTCATCTTCATCTTGACATTAGGTGACGCCTCCTTCTTCTTCTGCTGTGGAGCCATGTGAAGCCCATTTACAGGAACTTGTAATAAGATATTGTTTTGTTTAAAACGAACAAACAAAAACATCTACGGACCATTTCTGATATTCAGGAAAGCCAAGGCCGTCTCCCCCATCCTCACACCCTCACCCCCCAACCCCACCCCCGCCATAATGGCTGGTCTCCATCGCGACGGCCGGACGGAGTGTGTCTGTCTATGCAACCTGTTTGAAAGTGCTGGGGGCCCTTCCAGAGGGGGGCGCCACCGAGCTAGCTCACAGGACTCTCTTCTCCCCCCCACCTCCCAGCCCCCTCTACTGACAATGGTTCAGCCCTGTTTTAATGGAGGACTTAATCAAAAACGGTTGGGAACAGGGGGGTTCTTAATGAAAATGTTTTGTAGATACTTGTTAACTGTCACGACTGGCAACACCACCCCGTAAAAGACTACTGACTTGACAAGCTTTCTCTCTCTTCCTTCTTTTTCGTTCTTTTATTCTGGATAAAATGTTTGATTTACTGAATTTCCCCCCAAAATCTTTACCCCTTCTAAGGAGCACTAGCCTAACTTGGTCTTTTTCTATGGTAGATAGTCATTTTAAGACTCTTTGGACAGCAAAATCTCCCCCAAAAAAATGTGTAATGTGAAGGTGATTTTCTTTCTTTTTTTCTTTTTACGGCTTTTATGTTTTATCTTTGTCTTGTTTTGTTTCTTAGGTTAAAAAAGGAAAAATTGAGTTAAAAAAAATACGTACTAGCCAAGTCACAAAGAGAATGGGTTGCACATAGCGTTATGGAATAATTTGTGATTTTTGTTTCGTTATGTTTCTAATCTTGATGTAAATTTACACTATTTATAAATACATATTTATTGCTTGAAAATATTTGTTGATGGAATGCTGTTATTTTTTCCAGAGTACCTGCCATTAAAATTTGAAGGAGTTTTGTCATTTTAACACAACTCCTCGTACATTTTCTATATATAAATAAAATTGCTTAGCAAGCATTGTACAGAAACGGACATTTAAAATTGTTTTATTGTTTGAAGAATGTTTTATGATGAGTCAATAAACACAAAGTTGTCAAATTATCCGTGTTTTTTGGTTCCTCAAACACAACACAATACTTTAACATGATCATTTGGTATCATTTACAGTACATAAGCAATACAAACACTTGTAAAACATCGATGTTTATGAGTAAAGGTATGAAACCCAGCAGACAATGTAGCTGTAGACTGACACACACAGCATCCTACACTGTATGCCAGGTTCAAACCTCACCCAGTGTCTCAAAATGTCATTTTAATATATATTCATAATAACATTTCTTCATATGCAGTCTTCACATGCAACACATTTCTGTGGAAATCAAAAGCCGAAGTGTCTGAAATACATGAAAAACACTCATGTCTTTACAGAATGCATTAATAAACAGTGGATGTGATGGATGCCAGCAGAGACCCAGTAGCCAGATGTAGCTGCTGCCAGCCCCGCAGGATCTACACTGACTACTGAGCAACTGCTGGGCACCCTGTGACCACACGGAGCCAAAATGGCCACCTGGCAGGTACATATCATTCAAGACAGCAAGTTTAGAAGAGAAACACTTCGGGCCAATTCCAAACCACACCCTACCCATTCCCCCTCCGTGAGTGAAAAACATATTTAATGGCGTTTCTTTAAAAATAATAATAATATGATGTTAATTAGCTGCTTAGATTTGCAACAGTCCCTGTAACCATACAAAACGTTATAATAAATTGCACACATTTATCGTTATCTAGATAAAACACGGGTATATGAAGTTAAAAAATACGAGGTAACATTGAAGTTATTTAAATTACATCTGTATGTTGAAGTGATCACTGATTGACATAATTCACTCCGACTCCCGTCTCTCGGCACTACAATGTCGATATTAAATGTCTATCTTGTTGTGCGGTTTATCAGTAAATGTTTACACGGAACTATTTGTAAACAGCGTGTTTCCTGACGGACACACACAGCGTTGAGTCCGGTCAGGTAGGGCAGCAGCAGGTGAATTCAGGACCGATGGAGACTCGCTGTTGGCGGGCTTCATAACCCGCTACCCCTCGCTCTCCCTCCATCCTCGTTGTTTTAGAACGACACTTGACACACATGTGGTTACTATTAAGTGACCGCTAAACATTACATCCAACACACATACCCGAGTTTAAAAGTGATGATATCGTGGGGGGAAAGTCAAATCATAACAGCAATTGGTCCGAAATTAAACAGTTCCTCTTCCTGGAATATGACAAGCAAGCTGGTCCCCCAGGTGTCAGCAGTGTTGGCTATTGATGCAGGTGAGGATGTGGATTTTAATATATAGTTTAGATACAAAAAACGTCAAATAGGTGTTTATTTAACCATAAACAGTCTTTGACATAAGAAGAGGAAGATTGCTAGCTACCCAGTTGACAAGCCCCTTTCCCACTTGCACTTTGACCCATACATGTTTTGCCAAATATGTGACACTGTCCAGTAGATTACTTTATTATAAGTGCTCACCAGCCAAATATGTTGGAAAACACAGCTGTAAATGATGGTCGTTAAAACAATTTAAAAGTATTTTGCAGTCGATAAGCTCTTCATGGCTTCAGTTAAACTGCTAAAAATACTATTTGGTGCTATTAGTAAACATTAGCATGCTGATGCATTGATCTTACCTACAGCTTGTGTTGTTCTCAGCTACAGTTTATGTTTAGGTGCTTATAAGCAATTGTTAGCTTGCTGATGAGTTGAACTAAAAAGATAAACCTACATTTCCCCACAGGGACTAATTTATTTTTATCTTATCTTTAATTATTGCTAAGCATGTCAGTATTGTGGTTAGCATTTCGCTCATAGCACTGCAGGATGTAAGTACAGCCTCACAGAGCTAAACATATTGCTTGCAAGATGTAGTATTAAAGCATCGGATTAATTAATATTTACAGATTAAAAAAGAGCATTTAAAGGTTTAGGTGCATGTGGCAAAGAAGCTAAACTGCCTTTTTTCTTCCAATCTTCCTTATTGCCTTTAAGCTTCGTACACTCCCTCTGCTCCTGCGCTGAAACCAAGATGGCCGTCCTTTGCGCAACCATTGTGACTGTCACAGATGGACGATGGAGGACTTTCCGACGCCTTTCCTGGAGTGTCCATCTGCTGTTTGAAGTCTGTCAGGAGTCCTGGAAGAAAAACAGGTTGGTGATCAGAACCACTTTATGATCATAAGAGAAATCTGACTGCACACAAGACGGCTCAGTCGGGAAATTAAGAATCCAACAGCAGTAATAAAAGCTTAAATCTTTGGTGGCCATAAAGCATAGCTGATATGAAGCTCTTGCAATACTGTATGACTCTCTATACACACACTCTTTTACTTTGGCGGAGGCACACACATGATCAAACCCAAGTGTGGGCTGGAAATTCGTGATTCTAGGAAACAAGATGCCAGTTTCAGAGCAGGAAGTCTTCATCAGTTAAGAAGATGACCACTTCCTGTTGGCTGCCTGAAGCGACAAAGGCAGGAAACTAGAGTTTTATGATACAGTGATAGAGGGGGAGAAATGGGGTAGGGGATGCAGGTGGCAGAAAGAATGTGCATTGACAATTATAGTTTGATAACGTGATGTTTCAGTGCATACAAAACTCAAGAGGTTCAGTCCCAAAACATTTCTCTAGTCCTTTAAGTCTCCCCATATATCTTCCACCTATATGCTCTGTGAAGTCTGGCAGTGATCCAGCAGAGAGGTATGTGAACTCTGCTTGGCCCAGACCACCAGCAACCCCCCCCCTCCTCTTTAAATCCAGACCTCCTAACAATGTCTCCCTGTGTCGCAGTGGGGGAAAACAGGAGAGAAAGACCGACGGAGGAGTTCAACTAGCAGTGTGATCAATGCCTCTCCTTCCTTCCTGTTCCCTCCATCGCTGCCCTGCCTGCTCTGCTGTTTCCGCCTTTGTGAGAAACAGACAGGTGGCCATGACTGCTAATTTTAAACCGGGACGATTGTCTGCCTGCGTTCCCCACAGCTATGTACAGATGCCTGCAATAAACCAAGTAGGTCAGTGTGTGAGACTCACACACCTGCAGACGCACACACACCGGGCCCTGACCTCTAAAAATGTCTTTCATTCATGCACTCTGTTGCAAGTGATCCTCCCTTATTGGCTGTCACTCTCAGCCAATGGCAGAGCATCCTGCTGCCCATTCACAAAACCCCGGGTCATTGAGGGTAATGTAGCATTAAGGCATGTGCAAAAAGGAAGGGTTTATCGGATCCTAATTTTTACAATTTTTTTTGTAAAAACGTCATATTTAATGTGGATTGATGTCACGGTAATATGGACTTAAGAGAACAAAACACCTTTTTTTGTGATGTTAATGCACATTTGTGGTGTAATGTGAGCTGAATCTGTAGTATTGAAAAAAGGAAATTCCTATTTGTGCATTTTTTATATAATGAATGGAGTTTAAAGAGAGTCAATCCTTTGCATTGAATGTTTAAAGCCTCACTTCGCTCCGCAGACGCACAACATTCCTGTGTGTTTAATGAGTAATGAGCCGAGGGCCCCTGAGGCCCCGATCATTTCCCCTTTTTTTGTTTTCTCAGGCTAACCCTCTCTCGTTTCTGCACCTCCGTCCCTCAGTTTTGACTTAAAGACGCAACTCCTTGAATCCAATCCAGTGTCGTTTCCCCCCATGTAATTACCACTGCTGGTTCTCAGACCCCTCGAGTTACTATAAGGAAACGTGTGACTGTGTCAAAGTGAGTCTAATGTGTAACACCCGGAGCACATGCGGCTGAGAGGGGCAGATGAATACATCCTTTTATAATAACTTGTCCTCACCGAATCAACCATTTCTATCTCTGCTCGATAAAATATGAATAATTTATTGTAATAATTGCTGTTCCATCTGTTCTGGCAGCGCTAGGAATGCAAATCTGGTATAATAAAATACCTGACTTAAAGCACATATACATGCAAAACAAAGTTCTTGTACTGCATGTGCAACCTCATATTGATTATATCAAATAAAGCTACATCTTTCCTCCTTTTTAAGAATCAGAAACTCCTGATATATTTTGAAGGATAATTATCATTTTCTCCTCGAAAGCCATCCACTCGACAATACAAGCTGTCGCCTCGATGAAGATGTGTGAGGCATGTTTGCGATTAGCCTAACCAAGATAACAAAAAAAAGAGGTGCTACCCGTTGCGATGGAAACGGAGAGTAATTAGCACAGAGTGTTGTTCAGATAAAAAAGAGGAGAGGTGTGTGTGTGTGTGTGTGTGTGTGTGTGTGTGTGTGTGTGTGTGTGTGTGTGTGTGTGTGTGTGTGTGTGTGTGTGTGTGTGTGTGTGTGTGTGTGTGTGTGTGTGTGTGTGTGTGTGTGTGTGTGTGTGTGTGTGTGTGTGTGTGGCCTGCTTTCAACAGATGAAGCAACAGTCGTGCAGGTATCCACTGGCAGTAACTTCGTCTTTTGTTTAGAATTTGATTAAGACATTTTGCTGGAGGAAAAGTGGTGCACAGATTTGCCCCCCCCCCCCTCCCCCCTCCCCTCGCTGCATGTCTAAACAGAGACTGTTAGTGGAAAGCTGGGTTCAGCTGTTGATCTGGCCCACGCTGCTACAGCCCCCCATGTACTACGGATGTATCCGTCCATCTGTTGGTCATGTGACGCTAGCTTCACTCTTCTGAAAGGCTGTCACAGGACGCATCCCAACATTGTGTTTCAGCTTTTGCACGATGAGTATTCACTTAAGAGTTGCTTTTCCTGATATCAAAGCTTTTAAAGGGTATTGATTGATTGATGAGGCGTAAATGTAAAAAAAGTCACTTTTATATCATTGTGGTCCAGCTTTTGCACAAAGGCTGTGCTTTGCTTTTTACATTTGAGAGATGGGACTTTAAAATACACTTAAGAGTTTGTTTCCACATATAAAGTCTTTCAAATGCTGATCTATCAACTTTGTAATGCATTTCATTTGATTTAATATGATTTTTTTGATAAAGATGGCTAGACATGATGCACCCTGGGAGTGATTGGCCCTTTGCATTATTCACAAGTAGCATTTTTTTTGCTGCCTGGCTCAAGGGCCCCTAAAGTAAACTTCCTCCCTCTCGTACAGCTGCTCAGCCCCCGTGCATCAATCAAGCACAAATGTAATCTATAAGCATTGTTTCATTAGACAATGCTCGGTGCGTTTCCACACTCCAAACTCCCACACAGTTGGCTCACAATGTGCCGCTGTTCTCCAGCCGTCAGAGCCTCCATCACTCTGCAGCAGCTAATGGCAGCCAGCAGCCCACAGGCACACGTATATGCTAAGAACAATTATGCAGATGTGCGCTAAAACCACTTTGGTGGTATAATCCAACAATCAGTCCATTATAGTAATTGTCATTAGCGAGTGGGCGATTACAGGCTTCGACAGAGATGCTGAAGAACAGGCAGAGCGCCGCTGGTTTTATGCAAACGTGGCTAAGCCCAATTTAATATGTCAGATGTAATAACACTGTGTTTCTGAAGTCAAAGCCGAGCGTGTGTGTGTGTGTGTGTGTGTGTGTGTGTGTGTGTGTGTGTGTGTGTGTGTGTGTGTGTGTGTGTGTGTGTGTGTGTGTGTGTGTGTGTGTGTGTGTGTGTGTGTGTGTGTGTGACCACCTGTGGCAGGGACTAATGATTTGATATAAATCAATGGAAATGTTTTATGGAAGTTAGGGTACAAAATGGCAGAATTATTCATCTATTTTTTGGAAAGCAGGGTTTTTTTTCAAGCCCCAGATTTATATTTCACCGCAGGTTGATTTATAAGCGTAATGTAGTCTCAATAATGAGTGTTTTTCTTCTTCTATGGTATCCCCATTTGGACTTTTCTGACCACTGTCCAGTTTGTAGTGCATCAGCTGGGAGCTTATGGGTGTCCTGTGAGGAGGCAACATGTCAGCAGCTCCAATAATGTTGTTAACTTAAAGAGGAAGGCGAGGAATGTATCCTAAACTCAATCCATGTCCCCTCCTCCTCCTCCTCCTCCTCCTCCTCCTCCTCCTCCTCCTCCTCCTCCTCCTCCTCCTCCTCCTCCTCCTCCCCCCCCCCCCCCCCCCTTCAGTCATGGGTTCTCCGCTGGGTAATCGCATACCAAAAACACAAGAATTTCCCCCTCTCTCCTCCCCAGAGAGGGGCTACCCCCCTTCCTCTGTACAGCTTTCAAGCTAGCAGAAAACTAACCGGAAACCAGGGGACAGTTTTCCTTTAAATTAAAAGCATCTATTTCTAGAGTCATATTTTAAAACGAGACAAATGGTAACATATTGTGAAAAACATGTATTTAAAGAATTACCTATAGGAATACGTTTGAACAGTATTTAGTGCCAACATATTTCATTTATACACTTCAAACACTTTTTAACAAATTAAAAGCATCTATTTTTGTGTCATACTTGAATAAATTGCATTTTTAAGAAACTAAAAACTAGTCTCATACCTGCAATATTACAGCCTTTCATTGCTAACAGATCAAAAGAATATTGTGGAAATGTGTTAATAAAACAGTTTATATAGCTTTAGTTCCACTATTTATAGCATGAAGGCTGTTGGAGGTGAAATATTGGTAAGACAATTGTTAGATTGTTGGATATTTTTCGGTAAACACAAGATTTTTCTTGGCAAGTAGTAACATATTATGCAAATAATTAGTAAAAACATGTCAAAGTATTTCATTATAACACACAAGATTCTCATTGAAAAGGTACATGTATTTCCCTTTTTAACATCTGTAGTGTAAGTGACTCTTATTTTGAAATGCGTACCCGGAAGTATATGATTTAACGCAGCTACCTTGGCAGCGGTTCAGAGAGCGGCTTTCAGAGCGGCTTCCCAAACTGCTCTTAATGTGAAAAATACAGAGAAAAACGCCGGGCGCATTCCTGAGACCCGGAGACACCGTGACAGACTGAGCCTGTGTGTGTGCGCGCGCGTGTGTGTGGCTGTGTGTGTGTATGCGCGCAAAACCGTGCGTATCTGCGGGGGTGGAGAGCTTGGAGACCACACACTTTGCGCATTGACCCCCCCAACTCCCACACACACACACACACACGGGACCCAGCAACACTTTGCCCTCAAAAACATAAAGTTGGGGGAAAGAAAAGCACTAGTGAGTGGATTTATGTAAATTAAACAAATAACGACGACGAACGTTTGGTGCGTTAAAACGCGTTTTGATCCAAGTGCAGAGAGAGGAATGTGCTCCCCGCATGGCAAAGCAAAGCATACCCAAGATGATGAGGTGTACTTCGGTCAAAGTGAGTTGTTAGTGTCGACACTAGTGTTGCATGAAAACAACAATCCCGATTTGTTTTCACGTTTTTCACTCCGATCAAACGCCGCGTTGCGCAATCTGCATGGAGAGGCTCGGCGGAACGGTGGCGACGAAACGAGAGAAAAGTGGTTTAAACTTCCCGTTTCTCCAACAACAAGCACACACCGAGGCTGGGGAAAGTGAATTCACCCCCACGGGGAGATAAAGCGCCGAATGAAAAGTGTATCCACTTACCGTGGCTGCGTCTGCTGGCCGCATGTCCCCGTGTGAGAGTGTGTTGTGAGAGTGTGCGCAGGAGAGCATACCGACACTAGTGGTCGGAAGCGCAGCGCGACACGTCAACGCGCGTTGCCTCCATATCATAAGGGGGATTCTTCAGCTGCCGCCTGGCTCAGGGGTGCACAAGCTGGGGTCCGGGGACCTCCGAGGGGGCGGATGAGGAGGGTATGGGCCTCAATATACACAACGTGTGATGAAGAGGAGCTCAGAGGCAATGTTGCATCAAATCAGTTCATTAAAGAAAGACGATCCAATCCCTGCATCTAATGGGCTGTTGAGGCTGAATCCCATTCAATTCCACAAGTTCAAATAAGGGAGTTAATTGGCAAGATTTGTAATCAGTTAGGATAGTAAAGTTGTTGTTTTTGACATAAAACATATTTAAATTTGACGTTTTCTACGCGATATATTCTCTGAAAATAAAAAAATCTGTATTGTAGTAAATAAAATAGTTGCATATGTGCATTTGTTGGCTATTTTAACACACCTTACGCAATCAAACACATTCTATATTAAATGATATCAATTCAAATATAAATTAAAGCACGATCTGGTTCTGAATGGTGGTTATACGGGTCATTATAGGACTCACTGCATCACGCTCCACTGCAGCTATCTCTTTATTATAACCACAATTCAATTACCTAGTGTACAAAATAGAAATATTATCACATGAGAGACAAGAATGACCCAAAAGTGCATTTCTCTTGCATGAATTTGAGATGAAATCACTGCAGATTTCCCACATTACCTGCAATATGTTTACTGTCCTGTATGGTGACTTATTGAGGACGCAATGTAAAGCCTGTCACATCACTGAATCCATGCACCTGGGGAAAATCACTCCTCTTTTCCCTCAACTTGAAAATGCACCGAAGTGTGTGTGATGTTCCCCACCCTTACACACACACACACACACACACACACACACACACACACACACACACACACACACACACACACACACACACACACACACACACACACACACACACACACACACACACACACACACACACACACACACACACACACACACACACACCCTATAACACACAGACTGAATGGATCCTGCAGCAGCAGCGGCGGCGGCAGAAGCAGCCCGGAGCGCCTCTGCCGCTGCTTTTAATTGAACAGATAACAGACTGAATGGGTTTGTCTGCAGTGGAAAAAAAGGACGCCTGGAAGATTTGTACTCCTGCTGCGTGCTGCACTGAGGAGACAAACACCTGGCATCCCCCTCTCTCTCTGCAGTGGCACAACACCGAAACATGGGCACTATACGAGACACACAGACAAATAAAACATGAAGTGCTTACCAGCGGGCTTCATCCAGGCTGTTAAACCCCAGGACAGACGCCGTGATCTGCCTCTCGGATTCTGTCTCTCCACACACTCTTTTCTTGCTGCATCCCCAGTATCCTCCTCCATCCTCTCCATCCCTCTCTCTCTGCTCTCCACCAGTCTCTCCACTGATCTTTTAAGTCTATACCAACCTCTCCACTGATCAATGGACAGCCGGAGAAGCGAGCGCTGCTGCCTCCACCTCCCCCAGCTTCATATATATATATGTGTGTGTGTGTGTGTCTGTGTGTGTGTTTGGCAGTGAGGAGAGGAGGCTTCCAACCCACACACCACTCTCCAGAGCTCTCAGCCTCCACAGTGCCTCATCAGTTGACCACTCCACACCCCTACGCATCAATTCCCTACATGTGTGTGCACACCCACACACACTCTCGGTTAAAGCTCACATTTCACTGTCCCCTGATTTTTTAAAATATTTATTTATTTCTGAAGAAGAGCAGAAAGCATCCCCGGCTGAGAGCGATGAACACCTGTGACTCATGTAGCCTCTCTAGCTTGTATAGATACATGCAGATGGCTTAGCGCTCGAATAGCTCGCTTGAGGCCATGCGGCAACTTTCATGAAAATGCTTTCTTGTTGTGATGCCATCAGGGTAGCAGAACACGGTAGAATTACTCCCTTTTTAGGCTTTTTTTGTTGTTGCATGAAACGGAGACACTTCACAGGCTCGCGAGTTGCTTTTTTACGGTGCAAACGGGCTACAACGTCGCAGAACAATTGCAAGCGTTTCGCAGCGTTTGCTAAAACTTTTCGCTTGTACCTTTTGCCACTAAATTCCCCTCTTAAAGAGTTTAGCCTGTTTGAAACCAGCGCAACCAAACTCTTAATGGTTTGGCTTGTTGTTCTGCATCTTCATGTTTTTTTGCACTGATTGTAAGTCGCTTTGGACAAATGTAATGACAAACAGCTATTTATGTTACGGTTTGAGTCGCTCAGCTCTAGCTAATTTTAAACGACGAGAGTGTGCGCCTCCTGCACTGCAGCAGGGTTATAAATACTGATCCTCCCGCTGTGTGAGGCGTGAGAAGCCATCAGATGGGAATACAAAAACGCAGGAGATTCAAAAGTGGCACCACAAGGGGGGGGATCTAAAACGGCAGAGAAATTACCGCTTCTAACGCCCCAGAGTGCCACACGTCCAGCGGGTGTCAGAAAGCTAAGAGAAAAAGCATTTTGGAGCGTTGTGATTGGACAGAAGTCTGGAGGAACAGCGTGAGCAGTGATTGGCAGCATGGCTGAACAGGCTGGATGACAGGTGACATGTGCAAGGCCAAAAATACAGCGGTAGCATTGAAAGAATCAGCTTTGAATACAATTGCGGTTATGCAAAATAAAATAAATGTGCTTTTATGGCATTGTATTCATTTTCCCCTTGGTGCTTCTATATGTACGACTGCAGCCATCATGAAGTAAACACAGCAAGCTGCTCTTCGATAAGCTGCATATGTACACACGGCAAGTTCAAAAGAAAACGATAAAAACAAAGTATGATATTTGAGGATGCTACTTTAGCTTTCAGCTGTACTGGTGTTGTTTATATACTTGCACATTCGTGGGGTAATCAGGACGGCTGAATACTGATTTTTACTCGGCAACAGAAGCTTACTTAATTGAAATGGATGGCAGGTTATCAGCATATGTTGGACAATGACTAGTTACCTGTAATAGATCATGTCTATGAAGACCATTTACATGCACAAAGACCTCTAGATACACAATAAAAATCATATTAGGGCCTCTTTTAAAATAAATGAATACATTGAATAAATGTTTTTAAAGCTCGGTTGGATGCTACTCAATCGGAAGCTGTTGGTACCTGCTCATGTGGATAGTTATTGTAAATTGTAATCCCTGTAATGATGCTGTAAAATGTCCTTTTTGTTGTTCTGTTTATGTTTTTATGTTTCATGTGGAACCTACTTGAGCAGGTCTCCCTTGAAAAATAGATCAATGATCTCAATGGGATACACCTGGGTAAATAAAGGTTTATTAAAAAAAAAAAATGGAGGCAGTAAATCTACCTATAATATATTGACCTTTATTTCAAAATGCATTGTAATTCTGATAGTAATCTGATTTCTTTTATGTAACTGTAAGGGAATACACTCCCCTTTCTTTTATCGTGTTATCCCGTTGCATGTAATCCATTACTCCCCCTATGAGTTTCATAGGAGAACATACTGTATGTCCTGCGGTGCTTGTGTTTGACCATGAGACAGACAAAGACACAGAGAGAGTGACGGAGAGCGTTTCATCACCTGCTCCTCTCTGCGCTGCAGGCGGCTTGAATGTAAACAAGTGTAAATAAAAGCAAGGACGTTTTTGAAAAGCCTGTAAGTATTCTGGCGGCGCGTGGGTGGCTTCGCAAGCTCAAAACAATTTCTAACGGCCACGCTCTTGTGCTGGTGTGTCGCCAGGTGTCTGTGTGATGAACGCAACCACCGCAAATGAGAGAAAGGCACACAAATGATTTGGTTAATGGGTGGTTCTAAGAGGGGGCCCAGTGGCTCTTTAAATGGCCATCATAGGCTTTTTGTAGTGTGTTATATAGGCTTTTGTTTCTCTCCCACCATTGCCTGAAACGCCTCGATTGGACTTACTTCTGTAACATAGTGACATCACTGTGGAACACTCATGCTTCTATTGGCTACATTTTGCCGGATGCCGCTTTAAACAAATGTGCTTTGTCTTTAAGCTGATATTTTCAGATGTGCAAAACAGCGCGAGAATCCTAGTAAAACCCCAGATTGCTCACTGATTTCAGCGCTCTTAATGCATTTCCCTCGTGGACCAAAGTCAGGGAGTTCGCTCTTGTTCCCTTTGGTAATTTCAAATGTAATTACCCATAATTTTAGAGTGTTTCAGGAGCCTGACACCTACACCCCCCCCCCTCTACCTGCCTCTCAATCTCTGGCTGTTTTTGTATGCTGCTGGAGGATTGTATCTTTTTTCACCCCCGCACATTTTTGAGCACCACCCCTGCCATTACATATGTAAATGAACCAGACACCTCTCCTACGCCGGGACTAAATGAGTGCTTTTACGCAGGGAACAGGATCATATCGCTGAAGAGGTTACGTTAAGGATGCGGTTTACAGCATGTGCATCTTTTTATCAACATTAAGCCGCATATGCATGACTTTTACAAGTGGTGGAGGAAGTATCCAGATGTCCCGCCCCTTAGCCTATCACGTATTGACATGCACAGGAACCTATATAACACACTACGGGAAAAGGGAAAAGCCTCTTGAAGAGTAGGTATCTTGCAGTAAACATCAGATCATCTTTAATTATTTCAAGGCATTGAGAGTAACAAAGCATTGGAAATTTAAAATCCAATGAAGCGAGGCTAACAAAATTCAGAATAATCCGTTTTGTGACCTTTGGGTATAGATGCTCGAACCAACAGCAGAATATCTCCCCTGCATGTGTTTTATATTGTTTATTTTATATTTCTGTGGATGTTTCGCGGCTGCCTGGCTCACTGGTCAGATTGTTGCCATGGAATGTGCTGAGGGACAAAAGGAGCGGAGATCCAGAAACTCAGTGACCTCCTGCAGAGGCCTCCCTCTCTCTCTCTTTCTCCCCCTCTCTGTCAGGCTGCTGCACTTTGATGTGCTTCTGGCCCAGGTATTGATATTCCATCTTTATTCATTTGCATTGCATTTGATATCGAGGTAATCCAGAAGTAACGGAGAGTAATCAGGCGACATCACTTTTGATACTAGCCGAATACATACACCCAAAGCATGGCTACATCGACGCAGGCTCCTGCATGCACACACAGCCTTAAACACACACTCTCACAGGAGGAATGTGTGGGAATGTCCCTCTGGCTACCTCTGTAACCTGCGTCTGAAGCTGGTGAGGGGCCAAGGAGCCAGCAGACCCCGGAGACTGAAGGCAAACAGTGGAGAAGCTGCTCGGCTGCTTCAGAGATCAAAGGTCCCCTCCACATTCTCAACTCTGCCTTACATGCATGAACAGCATTCGCTTCCATGTTTGTGTAGGTGTGTGTGTAGGTGTGTGTGTGTGTGGGCAAACCGACTTGCAGCAGGTGTGTGTGTGTGGGGGTGCAAGTGTGAGAGCTTTCATTTTAACATGACTTTCATACTTTCAAGGAATTTGTGCTCTAGGCAAATGAGTCACGCTGAAAAGATGATCGCTGACCTCGGAGGAAGCGGTTTTAAAACATGTGCGCTCGAGTATATAAATATTACAAAAATAAATCAATAGTTTTTGATCCGCTGCGCACAATGTGTTTTTAATTCTGCCAAATGGCTTTAGAAATGTCTTCAACCGATTCTAGATTAAACTAAAAATCAATCCCAGATCACAGGTTTCCAAATGTTGGTATTTTCCTATTCAACCACAATATTTATTTTTAGATTAATGTGTTGGAGCGCTAGCCAATAGAAGCGCGGGTGTTCCGATGTGATGTCACTATGTTACAGGAATAAACAAAGGAGTCTAATGAAGGCGTTTCCCATGACACTAGAAAGAACCTGGAGAAAATGCAGCTGAGTGACAGATGAAGAATACCAAATCACAGTTTCATAAAGCAGGATTAAATATATGACCTTGTGCCAGTGCAAAGATATATCAGTAACCAAAAATAGAGTAGCTCCCTGAGACTGCACAAATATATTGGATTTCTCCTCTACATAGTTACAGCAAATAATCCTGAGATGCAGGTAGGATAATTCAGCTTTTAATTGGATTTAAGTCAAATAAAATATCGTAGAGTGCATAGGACATTAATACATATTAGTCAAAGCAGCGAAAGTGAGTAGTTTACTTGAAAACTGGATAAAATATCATGACTTATGTGCAGAGCGTATTATTTGTATGTACGTGTGTCTAGTAGGGACTTTTTCATGCATTTTCTTTTTTTTTAAACGGATAAAAAGTCAATTCTTACATATTTTTCATGATACAGAAGTTCTAATACGAATGATATGGTCAGGCAAATGTGTAAAAGACAAGAATATCAGGACAGATTCCTCTCCATGCAGAGGGTGGATTTCTGTCGAAGCGTTTTCTGTGCGCATCTTGTGTGCAACAGAAGCGAAAAAGGAACACATGGGGCGCGTGGGCGTCTTCTGGCAAACAACAGCCTCCTTTTTTTTTTACAACAAAGACATTTCATATCTGCCAGTGAGATTCTCAGCGGGCAACCAA